ATTTAAAATTTACCATTATTTAAACTTTTGTTTTTCCTTTTACTTGTCCATGCATTTGTGTCTCTTAAATTATTTTATTTTTATTGTTTTTTCCCCACGTCTTTTTTTTCCATGTGTTGTTTTTACATTTCTCTGTCTCCTGTTGTGTCCACCTTTTGCATTTCTGCATCATTATGCAAATAAGATGGGTGGCCCTTTTTGGGACACAAATTTTGTTGACACTACCCAAATGTTATAAAACTGCCATTTAAAAAATGTGTACAAGTATTTATGTTTATTAAACCGGCATACTGTGTTATCACCCACAGGCTGCCAGTTGGCCTAAACCCTRACCTAAACTTTTTATTAGTTAAAAATTATGTCATCTGTTATTTGTACACTTTGGCAGCATCTCAATTTAGGGCCTGCCTCCTTCTAAGTCTGTATTAGTTGGCCACGACATAGGCTGTCCTAATTCGGGGCTCTTTTTCATGCAGCTGTTGAAAAAACCCATAAAAGTAAAAACTGCCTGCATCTGACTATCTTTCCTGGCCGAGGATATCCCAGGATTCAGTACTCCATCAGCAAACTAAACAGGAAAATGAAGATAGCTGTGTTTCTTTTACTCTGACAARGATGGGATATTGTTCAACAAAGCAGCAGAGCTGAATGACCAGACCAAGACAACAATTAAAAKGTAAGTGCAGTTTTATTTACAGGTGGAGTTTGGTTTTGGACATCAGCTGAAAAGGAGGAGAACGTAGAAGGTGAGTATTGGTTCTTGGAAGAGTAATTTGTTGTAGATGTTTTCTTGTTAATAAGTGATTCTTTCTTACAGATTTTCCAGAGGCGGAGTTCCAAAGGAGAAGGTTTTCAAAGGCAGGTGGCAGTTCTTCAGGCAGAGTGGCTGTGAGTGTTCCGTGGTGAGGTTCTTTGTTTTCTGACCCAACTTGGGAGGACTTCTTAGTATGAGGTGTGGCTTCTGTGATCTGGTAATCCACCTTGGACAAAGGATGAATGATGTAAGTACAATATATATTCTTTAACATTGAATCTAGGAGCTAGAAACTACCATGAAGATTAGATGCATCAGCGTGGATCAACTGATGGAGGAGGCTTATAAAGCTGCAGCTGATCATCAGACAAATCCCCAACAGGTTGTGTAATCAGGGTCAGATCACCAATCACCATACAGGAACACAGGTAGAACTGATTCTTCACATACTCGTTTGTTTTCTTGTACCAAGTTGGCATACTTTAGTAAGTAAGTATGGTAAGTAAAATTTTATTAAAGCACTTTTCTTAGAAATGACTTCACAAAGTGCTGTACAAAGATGCAACAAAAATATCATGGAGCTGTCAAGTATTTCCATCCCAAAAAGGTGTATCTGCAACAACATTGAGCCAAATGAAAAAACGACAACAGTAAAAATAAAACACCAACCCATTTACATTTACATATTATATTTACAGGAAAATGTAAAATGAACTTGGACCAAGGCAAGAGTAAACTCAACTACCACAACAGGCACTGGGTTCAAAAACTTTAACCAAAACATCTAGCTAAAAGCTTGTTTAAAATAGAAGTTTTTTAAGCCCTTTTTGAATAATTCGACATCACTGATGGAACATAACTGAAAGGGAAGGGCATTCCAGAGGCTAGGGGCTACAAATGAAAAAGCCTGGTCTCCACGGGTCCTATAGCGTGTTCGAGGAACGGTTAAGAGATTTTGATCGTGAGAGCGCAAGCAGAGGACTGGATCTTATGTGGAGAGCATGTCCCTAACATAGGTAGGTGCCTGGACTCTTAAGGCTCTAAATGTAAGAACCAGGATTTTAAACAGAATCCTAAAATAAACAGGTAGCCAATGAAGTTCTGATAGGATTGGAGTAATGTGACTAGATTTAGAAGTTCGAGTTAAAAGTCTAGCTGCAGAATTCTGAACAAGTTGAAGACGATGTAGCTGCTTTTGATTCAAGCACATAAACAGGCTGTTACAATAACCCAGGCAGCTAGAAACGAAAGCATGTTTAACCATTTCCAGATCTGAGGCAGACATCATAGACCGAAGTTTAGAAATTTTACGCAGCTGGAAGAAACATGTAGACACAACAAATTTTTAAATTGTTTTTCCAGAGACAGGTCCGAGTCAAATATAACACCCAGATTATGAAGACTCTGATGGACAGCTGAACACAGAGAGCCCAAGCGCTCCTTAACATTAGGGATCTTTCTTTAAGGGGCTATAATTAGCACTTCTGTCTTGTCCAAATTAAGCAGCAGCATTTTTTCTGACAGCCAGCTCTTTACCTCTGTGACACAGTCCATCAGAGAAGCCAACTAGTATAACTGCAAGTCATCTGCATTGAAGTGATGGAACACATCACAGAAATTACTTATTATCTGACTCAGAGGACGGATGTACAACAAAAATTAAATAGGTCCCAAAATTGAACCCTGTGGCACTCCACAGGTAGAGGGAGCTATGTCAGAGTATGTCTGACCTACTCAAACAGCAAAAGAACGATCTGAGAGTTAAGATTCAAACTAGTCTAATGGTACATTCACACCATTTTGAGCATCAGGAGCATCTGGTTTACATGAAAAGTCAATGGTGGACGCACATCTCGGGGCGTTTAGCATCCGAGCAGCGCGTCTGGCGGCATCGGAGCAGCGCGTTTCGAAGCGTTTCACACGTTTTGAGTGGCGTGTCACGCCCCAAGCGGCCGACAGACGAGTTGGAAAATCTGAACTTTGGCAGCTAGCTGCGTCGCATCAGCCAATCAGAGAGACTCTGTTCAGTGACGTACTGGTGATGAGCCAGATATTCATTAAAAGCCAGTGAAGTCAGATCAAGCAAAATGGAGGACAAGCTGATCGTCGCTGTTTGTAATAACCCAATCCTTTATGATTGTTCGAGTGTCCTTTACCAGGACAGGAACCAAAAGGAGCTTGCCTGGAGGAGGGTTAGCGAGAAAGTCGGTGTGTCAGGTAAGTTTTGCGCAACTTGTGATACTGTGAATTTGTCGTACCGAATGCATATTGAAGTACAGCCACAACGTGCGATGTGTTTATTCAGTGGAAGTTTGTCAGAGAAGATGGAAGACACTGTGTGACACAGATGTAAAGGAGGTTAAAAAGTAAAGGAAACACGGAGCGGTTCGGCAGCTTCGAACGGGCAAAAGTGGAGGTACACGGCGGTGCTGTTGTTCCGCCAGCCGTTCATCTCACCAAGGGAGACGACGAGCAACATGCCAGCCAGTGTCGAGGGCGAGCTGGGCGCCGAGCAGGCCGCAGAGGGGGCCGACGTAGAGGCTGACGAGTAGGCCACACAGGATGGAGATATCTCTATCACGGGGGCCAGAGGTCTGTTCATGTACACAATGTGTTGTGTCACTAATTAATTAATTAATTAATTAATTGTTGTGGTTAGTTTGATTGAGTGTTTTAATCATTTTCATTACAGAATCAGTTGAATCTTTAGCTGACCCYSAAGACTCCCGGCCTGTATCCAGTCCTTCGTCCTCCATGTTGCCATGCTCTTCAGCTTCATTGGTGCGGACTACTCCAAGGACCACAACACCAACTGGTATGTATTGGTTATAGTTTTATTTCTTTGTCTTGTGTATGTACCTACCAATGTATCTGAATGACTAGGTGTATATATTTCATTAAATATGTACACGTATGCACACATGTTGGTTTTTACATGTGTACGTATGTGTACTGTGACGTTTCGGTACATATATTTGGACGTATGTACGTATGTATGTATGAACCTGTAGTATGTCCATGTAGTATGTACATGTACGTAGATGTCCTTGACATATATTTCTATGTATAGAAACAAACGTGTACACATATCTGCAGCTGCCCGTACACATGTATGGACATTCTTTACTTTGTGTGTGTTTGTGTGTGCAAATGCATATTTATGCACTCATTCAAATGTATACATTGAGATATATATACAGAAACGTACACATATACATGTTTATCACTAGAACTCCCAAATCCCTGTCATTTGACCAACATTACCTATAGTTCCCATGGAAC